CAGGAGCATAAAAGAAAGAGAAATCACAACAGACACAGCAGAAATCAAAAGAATAATTAGATAATACTATGAACAGCTATATGCAAACAAGTTCAAGAATCTAGAAGAGATGGGCAAATTCCTACAACTCTACAATCACCCAAAGCTAGATAAAGAATAAACAGAACAACTAAACAGAACAATTACAAGCAGTGAAAGTGAAGCAGTAGTTAAAACCCTCCCCAAGAAGACAAGCCCAGAAGATGGTTTTAGAAATCAATTTTACCAACTGTTCAGAAATGAACAAGTGCCTATTCTACACAAGCTGACTAAAAAATTGAGAAAGAAGGAACACTACCAAATACTCTCTATGAAGCCAACATAACATGGATACTAAAACCTAACAAAGACAACACAAGAAAAGACTTCAGACCAATCTCCCTAATGAACACTGATGCAAAAATCCTCAATTGAATGTTAGTCAACAAAATCCAACAATGCATTAAAAGAATAATTCACCCAACCAAGTGGCTTGCATTCCAGGGCACAAGTAATGTTCAACATCTGAAAATCAATTAATGTAATATATCACATCAATTGACAGAAAAATATAAACCATATAATCATATCAATAGAGGCAGAAAAGCATTTGAAAAAGTTCAACATCCATTTTTGTTTAGGCCCTCAATATCACTGGAATAGAAGGAATACGCCTCAACATGACAAAGTCACAGCCAATATTATCCTCAACGGAGAAAAGCTGAAAGCCTTTCCTTTGAGATCAGGGACAAGATAAGGATGTCCACAATCACCACTACTCATCAACATAACAATGGAAGTCCTAGCCAAAGTAGTAAGATGGAAAAAAGAAATACAAGTAAAAGACAGGAAAAAGAAATGCAAATAATCCAAACAGGGAAAGATGAAGTAAAACTATCTTTACTTGCAGACAATATGATAATTTACATGGAAAACCCTAAAAACACCATAGAAAAACTAATCAAAACAGTTAACCAGTCTAGTATGGCTGCAGGATATAAAAATCAACACACACAAGTCAGTAGCTTTCCTATACACAAGCAACCAATCAGAAGAAGCAGAATTCAAAAAAACCATCCCCTTTACAATAGAAACAAAAGAAATCAAATACTTGGGAATAAACGTAACAAAAGAGATAAAGGACTTATACAAAGAAAACTATAAAACCCTGATAGACATATGAAATGGAAAGATAGCCCCGGCTCATGGATTGGAAGAATTAACATCATTAAAATGGCCATTCTACCAAAAGCCATATACAGATTTAATGCTGGTCCAATAAAAATCTCAATGACATTTTTCAAAGAAATAGAACAAATACTGATGAGTTTTACATGGAACCACAAAAACCTCAAATAGCCACAACTCTCCTGACTAGAAAAATAAAAGACTAGAGGCATCACACTCCCGGACTTCAAGCTATACTACAAAGCCATAATAATCAATCAAAACTGCAAGGTAGTGGAAAGAAAAGATATACAGACCAGTCAATGTGAATAAAAAATCCAGACAGGGCCCAACCTGGTGGCACAGTGGGTTAAAGCACAGCATTAAGAAGCTAAAGCCACTTCAGCATGAGTTCGATCCCCGCCCGTCCTGGAGGTGATCCACTTGGCGAGGCAGACCTCTCCTGACCCGCCTGCTGCTCCTCTCAGCAGTGCACTTTGTCAGTCTGCCTGTTCTGCTTCCCACTCTGTCTCTGGTGAATCCTCTCATCACCCCTGCACCTCTGGAGCCTGTACCCCAGTTCTGTATGCATAAATAAACAAATCTTTAAAAAAAAACAAAACAACCTAGATATAAACCCACAGGCTTATGAACAAGTAATTTTTGACAAAGGAGCAAAGAATATGCAATGGAACAAAACAAAGAATATGTAATGGGCTGCTATGTGCAAAAAAAATGAAGCTAAATCACTCAAAGTATATTAAAGATCTAGACATAAGCCCCAAATCCATAAAATATCTGCAAGAAAAGGTGGGTTAAACACTACACAACATACACCTCAGTAACATCTTTGAAGCTACATCACCCAAAGCAAGGATAGTGTAGGAAAGGATAAGCAACTGGGACTATATCAAGTTAAAGAGCTCCTGTATAGCAAGAAAGACACTACACAAAACAAAGAGACAACTGACTGATTGGGAGAAAATATTTGCACACAATTCTAATGACAAATGACTGATCACAAGGATATACAAATATTACTCCACAATCAAAACAGATAAACTCATGCCTTTTGCAGCAACATGGATGGAGCTAGAAAGGATCATGCTTAGTGAAAGAAGTCATAAACAAAAGAAAAATACCAAATGGTTTCACTCATAGCAGGAGTATAAGGGATCGGGGGGGAGAGGGGGGAAGAAAACAAGAGAGAAAGCAAATGCAGTAAAATAAACATAAGAACAATGAATAACTATAAACCAGAGACATGGTATGGGGTAGAAAGGGAATGGGATAAAAGCTGTGGTGGGAAGAGAGCATGGGACTATGGTGATGGCACACGGGTAAATTGGTGGTGGGAAGCCCACAGGGACTACAAATGAGATGGAAAAATGTACATAATGAAGAATGATGTAAAAGAAAATAAATATAAAAAATAAATAAAATGAAAAAGCAAAAAAAAAAAAAATCGACTCAAAAGGACACCTGCACCCCATGTTTACTGCTGCTCCTTTTACAATAGTGAAGACATGGAATCAACCCAAATGCCCAAAAAATGATGACTGGATGAAAAAGATGTGGTACATATACAGAGTGGAATATTACTGAGCAATGATAAAAACAAACTCATGCTTTTTGCAGTAAGATGGACGGATCATGCTTAGTGAAATAAGCCAGAAAGGAAAAGAAAAATACTGGTGGTTTTACTCACTGCAGTAGTGGAAGGGATCAGGGGTTGGAGGGGGGGGGGGAAGAGAAACAAATGTAATAGAGTAAAAATGAAGACAATGAACAACTATAAACCAAAGACATTTTATGGGGGTGGTAAAGGGAATATGATCAGAACTGGGGTGGGAAGAATACACTGGACTATGGTGATGGCACACAGGGAAGCCCATAGGGATTACAACTGAGATGAAATAATGCACAAAATGAATAATGATGCAGAATAAATAAATAAAAATATTTCAAGGTCCTTCAATAGTGTAGTTAATATAGTAAAAGACTGTACTTGGTCAAAAGATTCCATACCATATAATTATAGTCATATGATACTTTCTAAAACATGTAACTACAGTGAAAGAAAATTGACTGGTGGTTGCCAGAGGTAAAAGATGAATTTGGGTGAGAATACAATGGGATAAAGAAGAGAGATTTTTGTGAAGTTGCTCAACTCTTTTGATTGTGTGATGGTGGTTACATAATCTGTACATGTTAAAAATTCACAGAAGTATGCATATATACATACAAGTCAGTTTTTCTGTATGTTAATTTAAAAAATAAAATGGAAATCCAGAGCTGTAAATTTAAATTAGCTTAATTTTACAGACTAAATCCCTGCCAAACCCTTTTCCACTATTAACAAAGAAATATTGATTTTTAAAGTAGCCTTTCTAATTACTCATTATCCTTTATGTTAAAATATACAATGAAACAAAAACAACAGTTGAAGGACATATGCCACAGTGATTCTCAATAATGAGGTTTTAAGATCTTAAAATCTCTTTATTGTTAAATTAGCCATGATGGATTTGTATTTGATAATCAGTTAAAAAAATTAAAGAACCTTTTTAGTCCAGGCCTACTAATGTTTTCTAAAGGAAACTTTAGGGCTTTATTCTGTGAGCATGACAGCTTGGAGAAGGGTAGTTAGAATCACAGAAAACAAAGTATATTGGTAGAACTGGTGAAGTTAAAAACAAAACTGGCAACATAAAGGAAGAGGTAGTTTGGCCCACCTGAGACTGTTTGAAAACATCCTTCCCAACAACATCCAGGTTTGAGGGGTCTTTGATGGAACTAACATATTCAGAAACAGCCTTGATGACCACGTCACAGGGAGGAAGAACCAGCTGATGAGCTCTGACCTAGAAGAGGTAAGGAACCCTAATGTTAAAAATGGATCACTAACAAAAATGGGTAAGATACAGAAAATCACTAAGAAAACAGGGTGCATATAGAATTTAAACAGCAAATCCACTAAGAGGTAGTAAATATATATATATATATATATATATTTTAAAGATTTATTTTATTTATTTATTCATACAGAACTGGGGTACAGGCCAGAGGCTCAAGGGCGGTGAGAGGCTTCACCAGAGACAGAGTGGGGAACAGAACAGGCAGATCAAAGAAGTACACTGCTGAGGGGAGCAGCGGGTGGGTCAGGAGAGGTCTGCCACACCATGTGGTCACCTCCAGGGCAGGCAAGAATCGAACTCATGCAGAAGTGGCCTTAGCTTCTCAGTGCTGTGCTTCAACCCGCTGCGCCATCAGGGAGGGCCAGTAAATATATTTTTTATAAAAATACTTTTATCCCGGCCCTCCCTGGTGGCTCAGCGGGTTAAAGCACTGCACTGAGAATCTAAAGCCGCTTCCGCATGAGTTCAATTGCCACCAGCCCCGGAGGTGACCACATGGTGTGGCAGACCTCTCCTGACCCGCCCGCTGCTCCCCTCAGCAGTGTACTTTGACCATCTGCCTGTTCTGTTGCCCACTCTGTCTCTGGTGAAGCCTCTCACCGCCCCTGAGCCTCTGGCCTGTACCCCAGTTCTGTATGCACAAATAAATAAAATCTTTAAAAAAAAATACTTTTACCCCTATTTCTCAGTATAGAACACCTGAAATGATCAAAATGTATGAAGAGATAAAATCATAAATCCACTAGAGAGAACCACCATTTTATGATAATGTCATTATTCATCAGTTTTCTTTCATAATACACTTTGGCTACATCTAGTTCTTAATTACTAAAGGTCATGTTGTGATATATGAACCATATTTTGACCATGATTTGAAAGCACAAAACAGGCAAAAAAAGGTGTTTGAGAAAATGAACTACATAATAAGAGGATACCAAGAAATTATCATTAATTTTGTTAGTAGTAATGGCATTGTTTATGTAAGAAAATGTCCATATGCTTTAGAGATGTGCATGGAAGAATCTGGCATTTATTTTTAAATATATTAGTAAAAGCAACACAAAAACAGAGAAGTGTGGTCACATTTTGTTAACTGTTGGATCTGGAAATGTTATAATGGTGGTTCAGTTTATTATTATGATCCCCAGTTCTTATTTGCATAAATAAACAAAAAATAAATCTTTAAAAAAAAATCCCTGCCTTAATTTCCCTGGATTTATCCCTGGATAAATTTTATGGAGAAAATCTGAGCAGATTTTTATGGAGAAAAGGAGCTAACAAATGTAGCTAAGTGTATGTGTGCATATGCTAAATAGGGTGGTCAGGAAAGGCCTCACTGAAGTGACTTTTGAGAAAATCCTATATAATTGAGTTAAGTAGCTATGTGATTAAAAGTAATTCCAGGTTGAGTAAATGCAAAGGTTCTATGAACAAAAGGAAAATCTGAGATCAGAGCTGTAATGGTGGGGGAGGGAGGAAGACATTAGAGTGAATCAAATTATATTGTTTAATTAAAATGTTGATAAAAAAAAAAGGTGGTTCCTGACTGGGACCAAAGTTTGTATGGAGTTTAGATAATCTCTCCATGTATGTGAAGGTTATCTCTGGGGACTCCAATTTCTCCCGCGTTTCTAAGATGTGCATTTTGGGGTACTGACATATATGAATGTGTACTTTGATAGACTGGTGTCCTATCCATGGTGTTCTTTTCCACTAGGCCTCAGTCACTTATGACCCTGAACTCAAAGAAGTAGGTTGGAAAACTAGTGAATAAATGAATTTAAGTTACTGTTTTTTATTAGAAGTGTTTCGGCTCTTTATTTACAAGTTTGTGATGTTTCTGTGACCAATATGCTGAAGGAACTTAACTCTTGTTTTTATCAATGAGCCCATGTTAGAATTGGTTTCATTATACCTGATTTCACTTAAAGTTGGAAGAACCTACAATAGTAAGTGAAGACTTACTGTACAGGGTTTTACAGGCCATAGTGAAGATTTGGTGAGTTAACATGAAAAGTTATTGGAGGATTTTAAACAGAGAGGTGATATGATCTGAGTTCATTTTTTAAGGGATCACATTGGCTGTTATGAGAATAGACTGGAGGTGGAGCAGGGACAAGTAAAAGCAGAAGACCAACAGTTAGCAACTGCTATAATAATCCAGGCCAGAAATAACAGTGGCTTGACAAGGGTGGTGGCAGTGAAAACAGTTACTGGATGTATTTTGAAGGGAGAACTGGTGGTATTTGCTGACAGAAGATGAGTTGTGGGGCATGAAAGAAACAATTCAAGGATGACACCAAGGCCACTCCAAAGATTTTAGTCTGAGCAACTGGAAAATAGGGTTACCATGAATAAAAATGGGGAAGGTTGTAGCTTGTAGCTTTATGGGAAAATCAGGAGTTTGTTTCGACACTTTGAGATATTTAGTAGGTTGCTATGGATTAGAATCTGGAGTTCAAGAAGGTGATTAAAGCTGGATACATATCTTTTGTAGCCATTAATGAATAGATGGAACTGAAAGTTATGAGACTGGATGAAATCACCAAATGTTGACAGAAAAGAGAAGAGACCCAGGATAGAACTCTGGAACACTCCAAAGTGAAGAAGTAGAGAAAAAAACAATGCAGTGGCAAAGAAGATTGAGAAGCAGTAGCCAGTAAAGCAGGAATTAAAACTGAAAAGAGAGTGACATCCTTAATGCCAAGATAAGGATGTATTCTAAGGAAGAGAAAATGTGCACGCTGCTGACTGGTCAAGCAAGATCAAAACTGAGAGCTAGGTATTGGATTTATTAACAGAGAGGTCAGTGGTGACCTTAACAAGGACAATTTCAGAAAAGTAAATTGAACGAACAGAGGAAGAGGATAGTAAACAACTCAAATACAGATAACTCTCTAGAAGAGTTTGATATAAAGGAATGAGATACATGGAGCAGTAGTTTGGGTGGAGTAAGTGAGGTCAAAAGCAGGTGTTTTACTTAAGATGGGTACATGCCTGTGTGTCTAATAGGAAATAGCTAATGAAGAGAGAAAAACTTGATGATATAGAGAAAAGAGCAAAGACTTGCTGAAGTGACGCCCTTAATTAAGTTAGCAAGAGTCATCCACACTTAAGAGGAGGCAAGCACAGCACGTAGTCAAATAGATGCTTACAGGTGAGAAGATGAAGGGGTGGGAGCTACTGGAAGTTCTCTTCCCTCCCCCACCCTTCATTTTTCTCAGTGAAATAGGAAACCAGGTCTTGAGCTGAGCCAGGAGTAGAGAGTATCAGGAGCTTGAGGAGAAGGCTGCTAAGGTGTAAGTTGTCATCTAAGAAAATGAAATAGCAATATGGTATAGTACAATATAAAATTATATACAATTCCACAATAGTATAACACTATTAACAACTTAAACTACCACCTGAATATTTGAGACTCAGTCTCACCATAGCCTCAGTAGAAGTGAGAAGACTAATTTCTCAATATTTGCTAAACTGTTAGGTTAAAAGTAGCACATTGTTTATTAAATCTGCATGTCCAATCACTATTGTGGTTTGGTAGCCAGTTATACTGTCGGTTACTGTATTTCCTCTTTCTGTAAACTGTCTGCTTTTGTCCTTTGTATCAATTATTAGGGTATTAGTAGTTTTCTTCATAGGTTGATATGAAACCTTAAGCTACTAAAGGGACTGATCACAACTGTAGTTTTTTTGGCCTGTAAGTATTTGAAATAATTTAAACCTAATGGAAGATAATTATTCCGTCAAAATGCTAATCAAAATCTGGTGTCCCCTTGGCATAGCTGTATAAGTGGGAAATGGGGCACATTACCTTAAGCGATGCAAGGGGGTGTTCTGGTCCCAAGAGGCTCCAGTGAAAAGCAGCCAGGTCCTCATCTGGGAGAATGTGGTTACCTATGAAGTACATTTGTTATTTATTGACAGTACAAATGTTTTTCAGAACCTTCAGGCCATGAAAGGACTTTTGGGAAACAAAATGGCCAAATAATTCACATAGTCTCCATTCTTAACCTAATAACTACAGTAGGCTATGTATTGATTACCTACTATGTACCCCATGCATGTCTCATATTTTTAATTGCTATGCAAGGTAGTACTATTATCTCATTATACAGATAAATAAGGAAATTGAAGTTCAGATAAGTCTGATAACTTAGCTTAAAGTGGCAGTTAATAAGTGCCCCACACTATCATGAGAAGTGAAGGACTGACTCCAAAGACTATGCTATCATGCTGCTTTTTATATCAGTCACCAATTATTTACTGCCTAGTAAGTAATGGGTATTATATATCTATCCAATTTCATTTAACCTTAACAATAACACTATGAGGTATTATTATTCCCATTCCACAGATGAGGAAACATGACATGACATCTGTGGTTTGCCTTGTCTAGTTCCAAAACTTGTGCTGACTTTGTTAGATTATTCAATCTCAACTCTTAAGATTCAAGAGCAGAGATCATGTCACACAGGGTAGTAACTTTTATGCTACAAGTAGTTGGAAAAGCAATTCCGAACATAAATAAATGCAATTTACTTTGAAGTACATCTTTAAAAGAGAGATTAAAAGATGGACAGAATAATGGATGAATGACATAGCAACTATAATAAAATGTTAATGGCATTTATGTTAAATTTAATGGGCTCAGCATTTTCACTGCAAATTCTTTTATTGTTGCTATATATTTGGATATTATCACAATACAGTATTAGTGCAACAGAAACAAAAACATACCAATTTGTTCTTTATCAAAATCTAGACACTGGGGGAAAATACTGAAGCTCTGAGTAGAGAACCAAGTTGTACAGGGCCATGGAAATGTTTGGCCTAAGACAGTAATTTACATATAATAGTTATGGAATGTAGCAAAAGGGAAAGTTTACAAAAATCAAAATAATTTTCTGAAATAGTCTGCATTAATTCATAAGAAAAAGATGCTATATTCTTAGTAAGAAGACCAAAAGTCTCCTGAGTACTCCCTGGCATAGTGTTTGGCCTGTGGACTTTAATAAGATAAATCCATTCATGATAAGCTAAATCACTCTCATGTTCATCTCTTAACACTAGAAGACAAAACTTTACCAATCGCTGGCATCTGTTCTTTGGACTACCTACCCAGCAGTGCAGCAAATATGGGAAAGTTTATCCGTTTCAGACCCAGCTGCTTGGCCACCTCCTGCATTAGGAATTGGTTGGTAGTGAGGTTCTTTCCATTCCAGCTCAGCTTCAGAGCATGAGAACTGTAGTAAGAGGGAATATTGTAGAGAGCATACTCGGAGTCATGGGCAAGAAGGCCATGGAAGCCGTTTTCCCTGAAAAAAGCTACCACTTCCAAATGGTGGTCTTCAAGGCTCTGAAACACCTAGGAGGAAAGAAGAGAAAAAAGACATGTCAGGCAGTAGAAGGTGACCTGTGTTTGGTTAGAAATCAGTAAGATTAACAACTAAATTTTATGGTTTGTTGAAATATTATACACGGCAGAACAGAATAATCTTTAAAGAAAGAAAAATTCTCTCAGACTAGCATGTGATTATTCCTATAAACAAAGTATTATTCATGTGTTAAATGTCCCCCAGTTCTTTTTCGAATCCTTTCAAGAAACTGGCCTGAGGCTCTCCAAAAGTGGAATACTGAAATTAACATGGTATATATTAAGCCTTTATTTTAAAAAAGAGACCTTAGTTAGAAAAAAAGTTGCACCTTTTATCTTTACATACATTATCTCATTGTGAGAATAGCCATGACAAGGTAGATACAGGTGGGAAAACAAATACTGAAGTTAGATATAGAAAGGTTAAATAACATATAGCTAGAATATGACTTTAAGTTCATCTAACACTTATAAATTCATCTAACCCTTTAAAAACAGTCTGCATTCTTTCTTAGCACCTTAAACTAGAAGGCACTCAAATAGAACATTTCTAAAATGTAAAGGTCAGAAGCTAAAGTGCAAAAACTAAAGCTGCCCCCAAAGTTGCACTATGAGGGATAAACAAGATTCAAATCCACTATGACCTAACTCTGCACGTTCCATGGTTATCAGGCTTCTTCGAGAGCACTATTTTTTACGTAATAAAGGCAGACCAGTAAGTGCCATCCTATTCATGCGTCCAAGCAGGCACTTAAAGCTTATTGGAGTGATCTGGATACTACTTCCCTTACACTAGTTCTTTGATTATGGAGACTCTTACTTCTCTATTCCTATTACTACATAGGAACTTGACCACAGAAATAATAATAACAGCTAACAGATACTGAACACGTACTATGTGCTAAGCAATGTTCTAAGTTACTTGTATTCATTAACTCATTTACTACTTAAAATATTTTGAGATCATATATATTGTTATTAGCCATGTTACATCATTTCCAAGGCTGGAAGGAGCAAAGTATAGCTTTTGGTTCTAGAGCCTATGGGAATTTTCTTAAGGTCAACTGACCTATTTTTTCATTTAAATTATAAAGAAATGACAGTTTTCTGAAGTCTGACAGTGGTTTCCATGAATTAAGTTTTTGCAAGACCATGGAGAGTCTAGTCACAATAGTCATATCACATATTAAGTCACAAAAGGGGAGGGAAAGTGGCAAGCAGATAGTAAAGCTAGGTTTGTATTTGTCTGACATTTAGCCAAAGAAACCAAAAATTCTTAACTCTGTCCTGCAACATATTTATGCTTAGAGTTATGATTAACTCTAAATGGGTCAGGGTAGCACAGCTTTATGCTGTCCCTTGGTGAGTTTCTTCTAGTATACCTCTCACATGTTGCTGGTTGAACTTCTACCTTCCTTGTCCTAGGCATGGTGCTAAGTGTGATGTTCTCTCATAATCATCTGACCAGTGGGGCATTGTTTGTTTTTTTTTTTTTTAAGATTTATTTATATATACAAAAGCTGGGGTGTAGGCCAGAGGTGTTTTGGGGGGTGGTGGGTAAGAGGGTTCACCATAGACAAAGTGGGGAGAAGAACAGGCGGATCTCCTGAATACACTGCTGAGGGCAAGACAGAAGTATGCTGTGCCATGTGGGTTAGCTACCTGGCCAGGGGTTGAATTCATACTGCAATGGCTAGTGGTAGCTTGACAGTGCTGTGTCTTTAACCCTGCACCACAAGGGAGGATCCAGTAGGGGTATTTTAAGTTTCATTTTACAGATGAGTTAATGAGGCTCAGAAAAGTGATGTACCATGCTCAGGGCCACACAGCAGGGCAACTGGAACCTGGGTAAGACTAACACCAAATTTCATGGTGTTTCTACTATAACATATTACCTTTAGCTGATCTGAAGCTGATTATGCCACCATTCATATGATTTCACTCCAAAAAGTTAAGGTTTCACTCATAGCAGGAGTTGAAGAGGTCAGACAAATGATTTTTAATGAATTTGGTGATTTTTGTGTCATAAGGGATATAATTCACAATCACCTGGAGAGATTTTCCTAACTACATACAAACCCTGAGATCTTCTGAAACAGCCATAATTTAAAAAATAATCTATGTTGGCAAGGATGTAGAGAAACTGGATTTCTCTGAACATTGCTGGTAGGAATGTAATATGTTGCAGCCACTTTGGAAAACATTCTGGGAAGTCCTTACATGGTTAGACACAGACTTACTCTATAGTCCAGCAATTCCATTCCTAGGTATATACTCAAAATTAAAAATATTTTTGCAAAAAACTTACACATAAATATTCATAACAGTTTTATCCCCTAAGTCAAAGTAGGCAAAATGTCTATCAAATAATGAGTGTATAAACAAAATGTAGATGCTTTGGTGATAGGAGTAATCACACTTGAGGGGAGAAATCTTGCATGTTAAAATATTAACAGGGATATAAAACAATGGTACTTCATTAAAATAAACAAGTAAAATAAAAACAAAAACCCCAAAATGTTATATATCTAATCAAGGGAATATTAGTCATAAAAAATAATGGAAGTACTGATTCATGTCACATGAGTGAGTTTTGAAAACATAAAGTGGGAAGATGCCAAACACAACAGGCCACATATTTTGATTCCTTTTTATGAAATGTCATAAAAGGCAAGTCCTCACATTTCTGTGAATCAGATCTCCAGAACTTTCTCCTTGCAAATTTAAAACCTATACCTACTAATGTCTTCATTTCCCCTTCTTCCCAGCTGTTGGCAACCGCCATTCTTTGGAAAATTTCTGTTTCTATTAATTTCAGTAGAATAATACTGTATTTGTCTTTATGTGAGTGGCTTATTTCATTTAACATAGTGTTCTCAAGCCTCATCCATACTGAAGCATGGGACAGGGTTAACTTCCTGTTTAAAACTGAACAATACTGTATGGACATACTATATTTTCTTTATTTATCTGTCTATGAACACCTGTGTTGCTTCCACTTCAAAGTTATTTTGAATAGTGCTGTTATGAATGACCATGTGTATATAAATAACACTTCAAGATCCTACCTTCAGCCCTCTTGGTTAAATGACCAGAAGTAGAACTACTTGATAAATGACAGGTCCGTTTTTTAATGTTTTAAAGACGCTCCAGACTATTTTCTACAACATTGTTGTGGAAATGCTGTAGATTCTGTAACATTTTATGTTCACATAACAGTGCACAAGTGTTCCAACTGCTCTACTACCTCACATTTGTTCTTTCTTTTAAAAGAGATTCTAATAGTTATATACATCCTAACAATTGTGAGGATTGTTACAATTATAATCACTATGGTTTTCATTTGCATTTTTCTGATGCTCAGTGATGTTGAGTACCTTGTCATATAATTGATGGTTGTTAATAGCATACTTTAAACCAAATTCTACATATCAATTCACCTATGAATACTTTAGTCTTTAATAGTTTAGAAGTAATATAAATGAAATACTATTATTAAAGTCAACAAAATTAACAACTTTCTTAATGTCATAATATCCAGTCCAGGGTTTTTTGGTGATAATCCATATATATATATATA